TGTTTCTGTAACATTAATAGTTTCTGTGTTCTGTAACATTAATAGTTTCTGTTCTGTAACATTAATAGTTTTCTGTGTTCTGTAACATTAATAGTTTCTGTGTTCTGTAACATTAATAGTTTTCTGTTCTGTAACATTAATAGTTTCTGTGTTCTGTAACATTAATAGTTTCTGTGTTCTGTAACATTAATAGTTTCTGTGTTCTGTAACATTAATAGTTTCTGTTCTGTAACATTAATAGTTTCTGTGTTCTGTAACATTAATGAGTTTCTGTGTTCTGTAACATTAATAGTTTCTGTTTCTGTAACATTAATAGTTTCTGTCTGTAACATTAATAGTTTCTGTTCTGTAACATTAATAGTTTCTGTGTTCTGTAACATTAATAGTTTCTGTTCTGTAACATTAATAGTTTCTGTTCTGTAACATTAATAGTTTCTCTGTTCTGTAACATTAATAGTTTCTGTGTTCTGTAACATTAATAGTCTGTGTTCTGTAACATTAATAGTTTCTGTGTTCTGTAACATTAATAGTTTCTGTGTTCTGTAACATTAATAGTTTCTGTGTTCTGTAACATTAATAGTTTCTGTGTTCTGTACATTAATAGTTTCTGTTCTGTAACATTAATAGTTTCTGTTCTGTAACATTAATAGTTTCTGTTCTGTAACATTAATAGTTTCTGTGTTCTGTAACATTAATAGTTTCTGTGTTGTAACATTAATAGTTTCTGTTCTGTAACATTAATAGTTTCTGTGTTCTGTAACATTAATAGTTTCTGTGTTCTGTAACATTAATAGTTTCTGTGTTCTGTAACATTAATAGTTTCTGTTTGTAACATTAATAGTTTCTGTTCTGTAACATTAATAGTTTCTGTTTCTGTAACATTAATAGTTTCTGTGTTCTGTAACATTAATAGTTTCTGTTCTGTAACATTAATAGTTTCTGTTCTGTAACATTAATAGTTTCTGTGTTCTGTAACATTAATAGTTTCTGTTCTGTAACATTAATAGTTTCTGTGTTCTGTAACATTAATAGTTTCTGTGTTCTGTAACATTAATAGTTTCTGTGTTCTGTAACATTAATAGTTTCTGTGTTCTGTAACATTAATAGTTTCTGTTTTCTAACATTAATAGTTTCTGTGTTCTGTAACATTAATAGTTTCTGTGTTCTGTAACATTAATAGTTTCTGTTTCTGTAACATTAATAGTTTCTGTTCTGTAACATTAATAGTTTCTGTGTTCTGTAACATTAATAGTTTCTGTGTTCTGTAACATTAATAGTTTCTGTGTTCTGTAACATTAATAGTTTCTGTGTTCTGTAACATTAATAGTTTCTGTTCTGTAACATTAATAGTTTCTGTGTTCTGTAACATTAATAGTTTCTGTTCTGTAACATTAATAGTTTCTGTGTTCTGTAACATTAATAGTTTCTGTTCTGTAACATTAATAGTTCTGTTTCTGTAACATTAATAGTTTCTGTGTTCTGTAACATTAATAGTTTCTGTGTTCTGTAACATTAATAGTTTCTGTGTTCTGTAACATTAATAGTTTCTGTGTTCTGTAACATTAATAGTTTCTGTTCTGTAACATTAATAGTTTCTGTGTTCTGTAACATTAATAGTTTCTGTGTTCTGTAACATTAATAGTTTCTGTTCTGTAACATTAATAGTTTCTGTGTTCTGTAACATTAATAGTTTCTGTGTTCTGTAACATTAATAGTTTCTGTGTTCTGTAACATTAATAGTTTCTGTTCTGTAACATTAATAGTTTCTCTGTTCTGTAACATTAATAGTTTCTGTGTTCTGTAACATTAATAGTTTCTGTTCTGTAACATTAATAGTTTCTGTGTTCTGTAACATTAATAGTTTCTGTGTTCTGTAACATTAATAGTTTCTGTGTTCTGTAACATTAATAGTTTCTGTGTTCTGTAACATTAATAGTTTCTGTTCTGTAACATTAATAGTTTCTGTTTCTGTAACATTAATAGTTTCTGTTCTGTAACATTAATAGTTTCTGTGTTCTGTAACATTAATAGTTTCTGTTCTGTAACATTAATAGGTTCTGTGTTCTGTAACATTAATAGTTTCTGTGTTCTGTAACATTAATAGTTTCTGTGTTCTGTAACATTAATAGTTTCTGTGTTCTGTAACATTAATAGTTTCTGTTCTGTAACATTAATAGTTTCTGTGTTCTGTAACATTAATAGTTTCTGTGTTCTGTAACATTAATAGTTTCTGTTCTGTAACATTAATAGTTTCTGTGTTCTGTAACATTAATAGTTTCTGTGTTCTGTAACATTAATAGTTTCTGTGTTCTGTAACATTAATAGTTTCTGTTCTGTAACATTAATAGTTTCTGTGTTCTGTAACATTAATAGTTTCTGTGTTCTGTAACATTAATAGTTTCTGTGTTCTGTAACATTAATAGTTTCTGTTCTGTAACATTAATAGTTTCTCTGTTCTGTAACATTAATAGTTTCTGTGTTCTGTAACATTAATAGTTTCTGTTCTGTAACATTAATAGTTTCTGTTCTGTAACATTAATAGTTTCTCTGTTCTGTAACATTAATAGTTTCTGTTCTGTAACATTAATAGTTTCTGTGTTCTGTAACATTAATAGTTTCTGTTCTGTAACATTAATAGTTTCTGTGTTCTGTAACATTAATAGTTTCTGTGTTCTGTAACATTAATAGTTTCTGTGTTCTGTAACATTAATAGTTTCTGTGTTCTGTAACATTAATAGTTTCTGTTCTGTAACATTAATAGTTTCTGTGTTCTGTAACATTAATAGTTTCTGTGTTCTGTAACATTAATAGTTTCTGTGTTCTGTAACATTAATAGTTTCTGTGTTCTGTAACATTAATAGTTCTGTGTTCTGTAACATTAATAGTTTCTGTGTTCTGTAACATTAATAGTTTCTGTTCTGTAACATTAATAGTTTCTGTTCTGTAACATTAATAGTTTCTGTGTTCTGTAACATTAATAGTTTCTGTGTTCTGTAACATTAATAGTTTCTGTTCTGTAACATTAATAGTTTCTGTGTTCTGTAACATTAATAGTTTCTGTTCTGTAACATTAATAGTTTCTGTGTTCTGTAACATTAATAGTTTCTGTTCTGTAACATTAATAGTTTCTGTGTTCTGTAACATTAATAGTTTCTGTGTTCTGTAACATTAATAGTTTCTGTGTTCTGTAACATTAATAGTTTCTGTGTTCTGTAACATTAATAGTTTCTGTGTTCTGTAACATTAATAGTTTCTGTGTTCTGTAACATTAATAGTTTCTGTGTTCTGTAACATTAATAGTTTCTGTGTTCTGTAACATTAATAGTTTCTGTGTTCTGTAACATTAATAGTTTCTGTGTTCTGTAACATTAATAGTTCTGTGTTCTGTAACATTAATAGTTTCTGTGTTCTGTAACATTAATAGTTTCTGTTCTGTAACATTAATAGTTTCTCTGTTCTGTAACATTAATAGTTTCTCTGTTCTGTAACATTAATAGTTTCTGTGTTCTGTAACATTAATAGTTTCTGTGTTCTGTAACATTAATAGTTTCTGTGTTCTGTAACATTAATAGTTTCTGTTCTGTAACATTAATAGTTTCTGTTTCTGTAACATTAATAGTTTCTGTGTTCTGTAACATTAATAGTTTCTGTGTTCTGTAACATTAATAGTTTCTGTTCTGTAACATTAATAGTTTCTGTGTTCTGTAACATTAATAGGTTCTGTGTTCTGTAACATTAATAGTTTCTGTGTTCTGTAACATTAATAGGTTCTGTGTTCTGTAACATTAATAGTTTCTGTTCTGTAACATTAATAGTTTCTGTTCTGTAACATTAATAGTTTCTCTGTTCTGTAACATTAATAGGTTCTGTGTTCTGTAACATTAATAGTTTCTGTGTTCTGTAACATTAATAGGTTCTGTGTTCTGTAACATTAATAGTTTCTGTGTTCTGTAACATTAATAGGTTCTGTGTTCTGTAACATTAATAGTTTCTGTGTTCTGTAACATTAATAGTTTCTGTGTTCTGTAACATTAATAGGTTCTGTGTTCTGTAACATTAATAGTTTCTGTTCTGTAACATTAATAGTTTCTCTGTTCTGTAACATTAATAGTTTCTGTGTTCTGTAACATTAATAGTTTCTGTGTTCTGTAACATTAATAGTTTCTGTGTTCTGTAACATTAATAGGTTCTGTGTTCTGTAACATTAATAGTTTCTGTGTTCTGTAACATTAATAGTTTCTGTGTTCTGTAACATTAATAGTTTCTGTTCTGTAACATTAATAGGTTCTGTTCTGTAACATTAATAGTTTCTGTTCTGTAACATTAATAGTTTCTGTGTTCTGTAACATTAATAGTTTCTGTGTTCTGTAACATTAATAGTTTCTGTTCTGTAACATTAATAGGTTCTGTTCTGTAACATTAATAGTTTCTGTTCTGTAACATTAATAGTTTCTGTGTTCTGTAACATTAATAGTTTCTGTGTTCTGTAACATTAATAGTTTCTGTGTTCTGTAACATTAATAGTTTCTGTTCTGTAACATTAATAGTTTCTGTTCTGTAACATTAATAGTTTCTGTTCTGTAACATTAATAGTTTCTGTGTTCTGTAACATTAATAGTTTCTGTGTTCTGTAACATTAATAGTTTCTGTGTTCTGTAACATTAATAGTTTCTGTGTTCTGTAACATTAATAGTTTCTGTTCTGTAACATTAATAGTTTCTGTGTTCTGTAACATTAATAGTTTCTGTGTTCTGTAACATTAATAGTTTCTGTTCTGTAACATTAATAGTTTCTGTGTTCTGTAACATTAATAGTTTCTGTGTTCTGTAACATTAATAGTTTCTTCATTACTCAGAGAGGTTTTCTATCATTAGCGGCTAAAGATGCTAACTAGCAAATAATGTAATAACGGCGCGGAGCAGAAAACGCTACAAAACTCACACAGCTGAGTCTGGAGCAGCTCCTGGATCTCCGCCTCACGGGGAGGAAAGTCTACTTACTGTGAATAACGGCTTTTATTTCTTGGTTTGGTGTTCTGGTGTGTTTAAAACCCGGGCACTTTCTCCTCTTTGTTGTTCCTGTCTGCTCACACAGCTTCCGGCCGCTGCAGGAAACTACTTCCTGCTCTCGCGCTCACTCAGGGTGCGTTCAAGATCAGAACGTTGTTGGGAATTTCCCTTTTACTGTTTTTTTTTCTTTGGTAAAAACACTTTTCTGGAGGCTTAAATCAATAAAGATACTTTCCGCGTGGTGTTGACAGAGTGTTAGGGCCTTAAAGAAGAAGATAATGAGAATAAAGTGGTAAAATTTGAGAAACAATTTCAGAAAAAGTGACAGTACATAAATAAAGTCATACTATCACAGGATTAAATCAGTAAAATACCAAGAAAAACAAGTAGTTAAATTACAGATATAAAGTCTTACTATCAAAGGATTAAATGTGTAATACAAAAAATAATTAAAAGCTATCTAAACTAGTTAAATTATAGAAATTAATAAAGGAATAGAGTAGTAATTATATGAGAATAATGTTGTGATTTAACAGAAATAAAGTCGTCTTGTTACAAGAATAATAATGTTGTGAGAATTAAAATCTTTATATTATGAGAAAATAAGTCTTAATATTACACGTACAGAAAATATTACAGGAAAGAAGAAATATAACAATAAAAAAATGTGTTTTTTAAGAGGAATGAAGTCATCAAATTATAAGAATAACTTTCTGAAATTATTAGAATTCAGTTGTCATTTCTAGATATAAAGATAGTCGTCATATTATGAGAAAAAAAGCCGTAATATTAGAGGAATAGAGTCGTCATACATTGAAAAAAAATGTCTTAATATTACGATAATAGATGATTAAAATGACAGGAAATACATTTTTAAAATTACAGGAATAACAGGATTAAAGTTGTTTTATTATCAGAATACTGTTGCAATATTTCGATAATAAATTCATGGTGTTATGAGAATAAAGTAATAATATTACATAATTTAAAGTTGTAATACAATGAGAATAAAGTCATCATTAAATAACGATGACAATATGGAAATAAAGCTTCCTACAGTGAAATAACATTTTGTTGATAAAGTCAGAATAAAAAGAAGTGTGTTAAATAATCTATTATGTAATTTATTAATGTATTTCTTTATTATTTATTTTATATATATTCATTAAGAAAGTTTGTTGTAAAAAAACAACCAAAAAACAGATTCCTCCGGGACAGTAGGTGGCGGTGTGCACCTCTGAAGTCACTGTTCACAACTACCCAAAAAATATATTAGTAGAAGAAGAGTTGTTCTTCCGGTGTCAGAGGCAACTGCTAATCCTAGAAGAAGAAGCAAGATCCGAAGAAAATCGACCGAAACCGAAGAAAACAACAAAAATCATGGTTAGTACGTCGTAATACTTATTCTTAGAGTTTATTTTTATTCGATGTTTGTTGATAATCACCAGCAGTTTAAAGTAGATTACTTTTTAATTCGTTATTTCAGCAGAGAAGTCGTTTTATGTAGCTGCCAGTTGTTTGCTAATGTTAGCATCAGGTTAGCATGCGAGTGGGGGACGTTAATAAAAAAACGACTAATATTTTATTAAAATATCGACTAATATTACAGTAAAATATCGACTAATATTATAGTAAAATATCAACTAATATTATAGTAAAATATCAACTAATATTACAGTAAAATATCGACTAATATTATAGTAAAATATCAACTAATATTACAGTAAAATATCAACTAATATTACAGTAAAATATCGACTAATATTATAGTAAAATATCGACTCATATTATATTAAAATATCAACTAATATTTATAATAAAAACCGACTAATATTTTATTAAAATATCGACTAATATTACAGTAAAATATCGACTAATATTATAGTAAAATATCAACTAATATTACAGTAAAATATCGACTAATATTATAGTAAAATATCGACTCATATTATATTAAAATATCAACTAATATTTATAATAAAAACCGACTAATATTTTATTAAAATATCGACTAATATTATAGTAAAATATTTATAATAAAAAACGACTAATATCATAATAAAGTATCGACTAATATTTATAATAAAACACTGGCTAATATTATATTAAAACACTGACTAATAATATAGTAAAATATCGACTAATATTATTGTAAAATATCGGCTAATATTATATTAAAATATCGACTAATATTATAATAAAATATCGACTAATATTATAGTAAAATATCGGCTAATATTATATTAAAATATCGACTAATATTATAATAAAATATTGGCTAATATTATATTAAAATATCGACTAATATTATAATAAAATATTGGCTAATATTATAATAAAATATCGACTAATATTATAATAAAATATCGACTAATACTTATAATAAAATATTGGCTAATATTATAATAAAATATCGACTAATATTATATTAAAATATCGACTAATATTATAATAAAATATCGACTAATATTTTAATAAAATATCGACTAATACTTATAATAAAATATCGACTAATATTATAGTAAAATATTTATAATAAAAAAATGACTAATATCATAATAAAATATCGACTAATATTATAATAAAATATCGACTAATATTTATAATAAAACACTGACTAATATTATATTAAAACACTGACTAATAATATATTAAAATATCGACTAATATTATAATTTAAAAAAACGACTAATATTATATTAAAACACAGACTAATATTATACTAAAACACAGATACTGCCAATTTTCCCCTGAACATTTTTGAATACTTTATTTCAGATAAAAATTTTACGTAACAAATGTCATCATTATACAATCAAGGAGCAGTTAATAAGCTTTAACATCTCACAGAAATCCGATTTAAAACTGTGCGAACCAACAGAAGATGTAAATGAACTCTGCAAATAAATAATGATACTGAAGACACACGAGAGGCCATAAGACAGAAACAAGTTCATAAAGTGACGGGTTGTTTGGGTAATGTAGTCTTTATCTCTAAGGTAATTTTCTGTCTTTGGTCATCTGTTGTGATTTTTATTGTTATTAATGTTGTGATAATATTTTGTGAAGCACTTTAAGGCTTGCTCTGTGAAAGATGCTTTACCACAAATAAACACATTATTATTGTTAAAACCTAAGATAACGTTTTAAATCTACATCTGTTGAATATATTTAGCACGTCAAGTTATTCAACAAGCATCCCCAAATCTGTCCCCCCGTTATAACCAAATTAATTTAAAATAAAAATCAGGATAAATTCTGATTTTTATTCAAAATTTAACCATGATGGGTGAAGTGAGTGTTGAAGTACTCGAAAGACCGGTCTCGAGGCCACTTTTAGAAGGTCTTGGTCTCGTCTTGGAATTGAAAGCATTTTTACTCGGCCTTGTCTCAGACTGGGCAGGCTCCGGATTTTAAATCAAGACCACCACTGATCGGCTATTTTTCCAAGTCCTTATTCGTTCTAAAAGAACAAACAACTTCAATTCATTTATAATTAGATTTTTATCTCATGGTTACGGCCGCAACCTTCCCCGTGTTACAGCCTGAGTGAGTGACACGCCACCTGCACACAAGATGAGGATTCTTCAGAGATATTTATGATCTCTGTCATGTCTTGGTCTCCGTTAGTTTGGTCTTCACTACAACACTAGGTGGCGGTAAAGTTCAGTGGTTAAAGCGTGAGTCCCATGTACCGACAGAAGTTTCACCGCAGAGTCCCTGGGTTCAAGTCCCATCCCAGCCCTCTGCTGTATTCCACCCTCACTCTTTCCTCCAATCGTCTCCCATCAGCTGTCACATCCAATAAAGATCCATCTGTGGAAGTCGACCTGGAAGAAATTAGATAAATCACAACTAAAGAAGAACAGATGTTTCCTGATTTACTGAATTTACATTTATTAAAAATCATTTTGAATTTAAGTCACAAATCTCTTCCTGCATGGATTCATCTCATTCTTTGTTTGAGGAAACTTCCACGTCTTCAGTTTATATTTATTGACTTGCACTTTTATCTGAACATGTAACCAGCTGATGTTTCTTTATTTAACTGAGTGATAAGTTGGTAGTTTAAGTAAGAAGTGAGTACTTACTAACCGTCTTCTAACGTTCTGTCTCTCAGTCGCACACCATCCTGCTCGTGCAGCCCACCAAGAGGCCAGAGGGGAGGACGTACGCTGACTATGAGTCTGTCAACGAGTGTATGGAAGGTAAGCTCATTGTGCTTTCTCTTCTTTGACTCTTATAATCTGAGCCGTCAACATGACAGAATTAAAAATGTAGATATGGAAAATATTCTGTAGAGTGCAGCAGGAAACAATCATTTAATCAGAAAATTACTGACCACCACTCCTCATACTGTCTTGATTATTTTGTCGTATTGATTGACAGGTGTGTGTAAAATGTACGAGGAACATTTGAAGAGAATGAACCCCAACAGTCCTTCAATCACATACGACATCAGCCAGCTGTTCGACTTCATCGATGACCTCGCCGACCTCAGCTGCTTGGTGTAAGTTTAGTCTGATTTATTCAAAGCATTGTGTCACTCACAATCTCACGTTGTTGTCGTGGTTGTAAAAAACTCTGCTGTGGGTAGAAAAACAACACAGAATACATGAGTAACGTAGGCTACATTCTGCTTATGTGTGAAGCATCACAGAATCTCCTCCAGGGACTCGGTTTGGGAGAAAGTCGAGAAGATTCACATTTTAAGATATTGAACACAATGTTTACACAATAGGGACAAAAATAGCTGAAAGTAATTGCACTAAATGATTTAATTTTGGGCCATAGCAACAGAGTCCTCTATACGACGCTATAATGAGAATATTTGTCTTTATATCAACGTGTAGTTCAACAGAAAAGTCCATCCTCTCCGTCTTCTCCCTGCTCCACTTTTCAGAAAATGTGTGCTCAAACAGGCCGTTTGCAGATTTTCCCTTCATGACATCACAAAGGGCAGTAACCCCTCCCCCTGGTGGTTGGGAGGAGGATAATAGCGAACAAACCATATGATGTATTTTTGTAGGCCAACCCTGAAGTAGCATCGCCATGGCGTCTAACCAGAATCCTCCTCTGGGATGTTTTCATTGGATTTTGGATCATTAATAAATAATCTCTGTGTTAAACACACGTTTCTGAAGCGTAGGCGTTTTGTTCAGCAGGATAATCTTCACAGATGAACGCCATTTTTATGATGTTTGAAGCGTTAATGCGGCCGACAGAAGTAAAAAGCTAACGTTATGCTAAAGCTAACTACACCATGGTGGGATGATTGTGACGTCACTAGCGTTACGCTTCAGACGATCTCCGATAAACTAATCCACGTAGCTTAATAAATAGTTTACTAACATAATATTCACCTTAACCTAAAGATTAAACCTACAGGAGACATCTCCGACTAGTGAGAGAGTTCCCGCCCTCTGTGTCCGGCGTGATGACCTTTAATGTCCCCGACAACCACTGTAGTCACATTTAGCCGCTTGTTAGCAACCGCCTTTTTAAAGACGAGTAAAAACTTCAAACTTCACAAGTGGAGGTATTACCTAACGTAGTTTATGTGCTCTAACAAAACACCAACATCTCTTCAGCTTGTGTTAACCACAGACCTTATTTCAGGAGTCTAACCACAAACACATTCAAAATCCCCGTTGACTTTTAGACGTTAGACCCCATGGCGCTAAATGCTAACTTACTTCCTGGTTTTAGGACTCATTCCTGTGGCGCTCTATGTCTGACCTTTAACACAAAAACCTCACAGGGGGTGCGTTCGAATTGTCCCTCCTATCTCCTTCACTATCCACTTCACCTTAACCCCGAGAAAACGTCATGAGGTGAAGGAAAGATGTTAGGAGAATTCATAAAGGAATTCATAAAGGAATTCATAAAGGCGATCTCGTTGCTCTGACAATCCGACCACATTTCCACTAGGCCACGTCATTAAATGCGACGGGCCGGCAGAGGTTAATGACGTGGGTCTGCCGTGTTGAAACTACAATGTTCCGAAAATGGACTACAAAAAGATCATGTAAAAAACTTTCCCCTGTGCTTCTTACTGGTGAAATAATCCTGATCACCACGAGGTTGGGATTGAAATTAAAGAAATATAGACTACCAGGCTACAAGTAAGAAAAGTGAAACCATCAGCTTCCTGTCCAATCAGAAATCAACATGAAATTAATTGTTACATTAATGTAAGATATAACCTACACATAATGTTTTATGCCTACACATGTACAACTGCACAGCATTCTTCAGAGAATGAAATATGTTGAATAAAACATCCTCTGATAAAAATGTCTCTTATCTTTTATCTCTTTACGATCATCGTTCATGTTCCTGAACGGTCGGATGCGCGACTCGCTTTGAATGTTGCGGCCGAAAGGAATTGTGGGACGGCATATCTCATCTCCTTTGGTAAAGGATGGTCCAGTGTATCCTAAAGGAGGTTATAAAGGAAGCATTGACCCACCTTTCCTTAACTTTTAGAGAATTCGAACGGCTCTTATCATGGCCGCCACTTAAATGCTTCCGGGGTTAAAGGTGAAGTAGATAGTGAAAGGAGATAGGAGGGACAATTCGAACGCACCCAGAGTCAGGAGTTGGAGCCTCCTGAGTCTACACACCGTCTGACCCTGATTGTTGTCTCTGTTTCAGTTACCGTGCCGACACACAGACGTACCAGCCGTACAACAAGGACTGGATCAAAGAGAAGATCTACGTGCTGCTTCGCCGTCAGGCTCAGCAGGCGGGAAAGTGAAGCGGTGGACGCGGGGAGGAGGAGGAGGTGGTGATGGGGGTCGATGTTGATTTTTCTTATCTGTAACTTGTGTGAATTGATTTGAAGCTGTTCTGAGAAGTTTTTAACAAAGTTTTGATCCTTTTTGTTTTTTTCTCACGGTGGGCGGTGCGTTTTGTATTTGAATATTTGACTTATTAAAAAGATTTTCTTTCAATAACACGTTTCTCTTTTGACTCTTGTTGTGAAAAGTCCATCCTCTGTCTTTTGCCTGCTCCACTTTTCAGAAAATGTGTGCTCAAACAGGCCGTTTGGAGATTATCCCTTCATGACATCACAAAGGGCAGTAGCCCCTCCCCCAGGTGGTTTATAGACATGATCAAATACAGGATCAGAGTGGATTTAGAACTAGAAACTTCACACACTTGTTTTAGGGAGCTCTGAGACTTATTTACACTGAAGAAGAGGAGGATATGTGACCTTTAAGGCAGAGAGAGAGAAGAAAATCTATTTTGGAAGATGTGCTTGTTTGTTACAGTTTTGAGTGAAAAGGAGAAAAAAAGCATTTCTCAGTGCAAAGCAGATCCTCCCAAATAATTACCTACTGTCAGCCGCACAGCATCCACGAGGGAAGAGGAAAGATGATGATGAAAGACAACAAGAGGAGGAGAGAACACAGAAACCGAGACGAGGAGGAAATCAGTGTTTGTTCACTTCTCTGGTTGTAAGAGTCGAGGGAACGAGACATTTTACCAGCAGAGTAAAACAACAAAACGTCCTGAAACTCTGGAAATTACTTTTCTATTTCAACAGCAGAAAAAGATGATTGATTCTTCTTTCGTCTCCATCTTTTCTGGATTTGTTTTCCTGTATCTGTGTTATTGAAGTTTGATTCTCATTCTTTCACGTTGTGTTGGACCTCAGTTTGTACTAACACAGTTATCAGATAATCTGGAAGTGATTATTTTAAACAACTCTCCCTGGGGAGGTCTTTACAGTTTCTAGACTTCAGGGAATTAAAAAAGTGAAAGGAATTTTCCAAATAAACTGACCTGGAGGGAAAACATTTTCAAAATAAAACTTCATTTCTGATTTTCATCTTACCTTCTCTTTCATATTTCCTCCTCCTTGCAAGTGAAGATACTTTGGCCTGTCAGGATGATTTATTTTACTCCTCTTTCCATGCTGTCTTTTCCTCCTTTGTCTTTACTTCCTCCTCCTTGGATCAATGAGATGATGAGCTAAAAGAGACAATCATAAGATGTTAGTTTGATTTGCAGATTTGAAAAGAAGAACAAAGTTTTAAAGTCTGTATCCTCCTTTTTCAATCCCCCTTTCCTCCTGTATTCCTTTCTCGTCTTCTCTTAATTTTTTTTCAGCATCAATCTAATTGTTCTGATTTACTTCCTCTTTCCTTTTCCAGAGTTTATAAAAGTTATTAAAATGTGCTTCATAGTCTTACATTTGACCTCAGTTTGCAGTAACACAGTGATCAGATCATCTTGATTATTGATTTCTTATTAAACTACTCTCCCTGGGGAAGTCTTTACAGTTTCTGGACTCTTAAAAAAACGAAAGAAAATCAATGAAACGTGAGAGGAACATCTGTGGAGCTCCAGGGTGACGCGCCGGGGACCTGCGGAGCGTCTCCCCGGCTGATGGAGCTCAGGAGGCGGACACTGAAGCTCGATCCTCTCGCTCCTGTTTTTTTCTGCACCTTTTGTGTTGTGATCGGCTCTGCCTGTCTGTTTCTCACACCCACCCCGGTACCCCCCCCCCCTTCCTCCTCCTCCCCTCCTCCTCCACCTCCTTCTCCATCCCACCCTACCCCCTCCACCTCCCCTTCCCTCCTCCCCTCCTCTCTCCTCCTTTTAGCATCTGAAAAGACCACTGAGTGAGAATCGATGGCGCAGAGGCCCGCTTGACAGGACAATAAACCACAAAGAAGGGGTGAGTTTTTTTCTCTCCTCCTCTTGCTTGTGTTGTTTTCTCATTTGCGGATTTTTACTCTGACGGCTCGTGGTGGAGGGAACAGCTCTCGGCTGGCTGCGTGGAAACGATGTTTTAACGCACGGCATCTTTTGTTACCGCGATATGATTTACAGCAGGCGTCAGCTGCCGCGGGTCCCACTCAGGGAGACAAAATAATCCCCCCCCAAAATGTAGAAAAACAGCAGCCCGAGCTGCAGCGTCCGAGGCTCCATCCTGTAACGTTTTGGGGGACATTGATTTCACATGAACACACATTCACCTTACGTAACCTCCAAACGCATCCCGGTGCTCGTGTTGTTGAGAGAGGAGCTGCAGGTTTAGATGAGGGTCGTTTGCGTGGATTTCATTGGGCGCTGCGGTACCTGGAGGCTGTTAATGCGGCTCTCTGCTTGTAAACAAGAATATGCCAGCATCAGGACCGGAGAGGGAGGTTTGTCTAAATCTTTTTTTTACAGGGTAAGCCCTCCTGGAAATTGAGCAGAGAATAGTGAGTAATGTTGTAATCGGCGTGCAGCACGTTGCTTTTTTTTCTTCCCCAGCCATGAGGAGAGAGGACAAGTCACATCCCAGGCGCAGGAGGAGCCGTCTATTTACAGCACATTTGCTTCTCATGTCTGTGATAGCCACAACAATAGCTCCCATTTTCCTCATCAGCCTCAGGCAGGATCAATACTGCGAGAGAAACTGAAAATATGATGCCATTACTGGTTAAAGATTTGAGCCTCCAGAGGAGCAGCCGATGAATCACATCATATTGATCTCAGATTGTGTTTTTGCCTGTTGGTTTAACCTCGTGTGACCTGACAGCATGTGGTGTGTGTGTGTGTGTGTGTGTGTTTGTGCCTCCAGCCTCTCCACCCGCTCAGTGAGGACCGCAGAGATGCCCCAGCAGAGGGAGGAGGACTCGTCTGCGTCCCGCCGCCCCAGCCTGGCATCCCTCCTCTGCCGCCTCCAGACACTGAAACCGGGCCACGACTTCCCATGAGGCCACCAGCAGAAACTCAGCTCGCCCGCTCTGTATGGGGCCTCTCACATATGAAGTAGGTTCACGTTGGGGATCTGGACTCATGAGTGAGGAGCTCAGGTGGTTCAGTGAGCGAGGAGGACAGTGGGGTCGCCGCTCATTGGGTGGGAAGAAGACAAATTGCTTCTTGTTTTACCTTCAAAATCATTTAATCTGTGATTCAGGAGGCCCCCAAACAATCCACATTTCTCTAAATCCTCTCTTTATTTAGCTTCTTTTCTTGCACAGTATGGGGCGCTTGAGCTCTTCTGGTCTCTAAAGATCATTCAAATGGACGCCTCTTTGATTTAACTTTTACAACAACCCAAGTCTAAACCTCAGCCTAACGTAGTAAGGGATCACTGGTAGACTTGATCTGATTAGAAGAGGTCGATTGGTTTGGAATGAATGAGCTAGATCAGGGTTTCCCAAACTTTGACTTGCCAAAGGCCCCCCTAAAGCATTAGCCTGTGGCGGGGCCCCAATCTTCTAAAATTCTCTTGAATTCCTTTTACATAACGATGGTAAATGTAAAATAATTAACATACAACTTCTTTCCAGTTTTCAGTGCGTGATTTGTTCCTGCTTCTATAAATACTCAAAGGTCGACTTCTTTAGGAGACCACTTGGCTGAAACAAAATGTCTGAAGGTTCTTCTTAATGACCTCAGAGCAACGTCTACGTCTAGTAAAGCTGTAAAAAAAAATGTAAACTGATTTCCTTGCGACCTGAAAGTCCTCTACATTTCTATATTTGGATCTTTGCAAACCAAAAGTGGATTTTAAATTAGAAAGGAATGGTTATTGGAGGTTTCTGAGGACCAGAGTGTCATCGTCCTCTTCTTCTTCTGTCCAGAAACGTGCAGCATCCTTTAAATCAACTTATGCACAGTTTTCACTTTTGTGTTGTGGTCCAGCCTGCTGAGGTCAGAGACGTGCCTGAGGACACTCTGACAGACAGCTGGTAGTCGAGGTTTAGTGATATTTGTCACAAGGTGCAAAGATGCATGATCATTTATAAAAGTGAAACACAGTCTGTATTAACCCTTACATGTCTGTCACCAGTCATTTAAATACTGTGCACATGATATACGATGAAATAAACCTTTATTGATCTCATGACGGAGACAGCAAGGAGCACCGAGCGCACAAATAATCAGTCAAGAAAGGACTTAAAAAACAGCTGCTGGGGCGCTGATGGCCAAGCGCTTAGGTTCGACGTCCCGGGTTCAAGTCCAACCTGTGGCTTCTTTCATGCATGTCTTCCCCACTCTCTCTCTCTCCTGATTTCCCAAACCCAAAATAAATGTCTATAGGAAACACAGTTGCACAGTGCACGATACAGGTCAGACGTGCTGTTGCACCTTGCATGTATTATTATTGCACATAAGTGATCCAGTAGGAGTGATGACTGAGTGCGTGTGTCCTCCTCTTCCTCTCAGTTGACATGGAGGATGAAGATGGGACTTGTCTACTTGATGTTTTGTGGTGAGTCCGCCTGATTCCAAACGAATAAGAGATCCTTTTAAATTCAGAAAACAAAGTCCGGGGTTTTATTTGAACATGGTTTAAATTCTGGTTCTCTCTTTGTCTTCGCAGTGACCCCCAGGCCCTGAACGACTTCCTCCACGGGACCAATGAGGTAACAAAAGAGTGTTGAACAGAGAGCCACTTTGAATCAGAATCAATAGTGTAAATGATAGATTCCTGATGGGGATATCTCCTGGCACAGAGTCGAGCTGGCTGCATGAAGAAGAGTCATTATGTTATACTGCATGCTTTTCTCACTTTGTGCCCGACCTGAAACTCGGACTGTTTTCCTCCCCCAGCTGCAGACTGAAGACCTGCTCATTAACTCGTCCTCCGGGGAGCCCTCCCTCTTCACAGACGCCCCGGTGAGTGTCTGGATCCACAGCCTGCAGTGTCACAACAACCTGCAGCTTCCCCAGGAGAACCATTTCTATCTGACTGCTTCATGTTAACTCCTGATAATCTCTCTCTCTCTCCTCCATTGTGTTTCACTCTCTCTCTCTTTCCTCTCTGTCTCTCTCTCTCTCTCTCTCTTTCCTCTCTCTCTCTCTCTCTCTCTCTCTCTCTGTCACTCCTCCTCCCCTCTCTCTCTCTCTCTTTCCTCTCTCTCTGTCTCTCTCTCTCTGTCTCTCTCTCTCTCCTCTCCCTCTCTCTCTCTCCTCCATCGTGTTTCACTCTCTCTCTTTCCTCTCTCTCTCTTTCCTCTCTCTCTCTCACTCCTCCATCGTGTTTCACTCTCTCTCCTCCCCTCTCTCTCTCTTTCCTCTCTCTCTCTCTCTCTCTTCCTCTCTCTCTCTCTCTCTCTCTCTCTCTCTCTGTCTCTCTCTCTCTCTGTCTCTCTCTCTCTCTCTCTCTCTCTCTCTCTCCCTCTCTCTCTCTCTCTTTCCTCTCTCTCTCTCTCCTCCATCGTGTTTCACTCTCTCTCTCTCTTTCCTCTCTCTCTCTCTCTCTCCTCCATCGTGTTTCACTCTCTCTCTCTCTTTCCTCTCTCTCTCTCTCTCTTCCCCTCTCTCTCTCTTTCCTCTCTCTCTCTCTTTCCCCTCTCTCTCTCTCTCTCACTCCTCCATCGTGTTTCACTCTCTCTCCTCCCCTCTCTCTCTCTCTCTCATCTCTCTCTCTCTCTCCCCCCCAGAGCCCTGTCTCTCTGCTGGGAGATGGCAGGGATTCCCCCGACACGCCTCCGCCCGGGTGTGTGGATCTGTCCTTCCTGGAGGAGGCCCTCCTGTCATCGCCGGAGGGTGGGGACGACCCACAGGTGGAGCAGAGGGGGGGGACACTTGTGGAGGCTGGATTTGAGGCAAAGAAGGGAGAGGTGGATGAGGCGGGGGAGGCGGGGGAGATGGCGTGTGACATCCTGCAGCAGAGCCTGCAGGAGGCGGAGATCACAGAGCAGACTATGGCTCTGGAGGCCGGTCTGCAGGGGGACAGCCTGTCTCTGTACTCCCCCACCCCTCTCCTCCCCCCCCCCACTCTACCCTTCATACATAAGTCTGTGACCTTACCCCAGATCCCCCCCATGCTGCCCAGAGACACCCAGGCAGCGGTGGAGCCCCCCCAGCCGTCCCTCCTGGCCGTTGGTCCAGGCTGCCCTTCTCTTAAACCTGTGGCCCCCCCTCAGCTGATGGGGCTCCTGCCTGGAAACGTGTTCCCCGCCGCCCCCCCAGAGACCTCCTTCTCTCTGAGTCCTGCACAGGGGTCCAGCATGATCCTCCACAAAGCTGTCCCCGGTGTGACCGGTCGCCCTCTCCTCACGCCCACCCTCAGAGCGGCAGCGACCCCCGGCATCATCCTGCAGCGCGCCCCCCTCGCCATCCAGCCCAAGCTGCCCATCAGCATCCAGCCCCGCCTGGTCCAGATCAGCCCCAAGCCTCCTGGGCAGAAACACACTCCTGGTCTCACGTTTGTCCCGGGGACCACCTCCCCAAATATTTTACTCTCACAACCTGCGGGCCAGAAGCCCTCGGCCCCCCAGCCGCAGCCCCCCCAGCAGCTCCACAAACAGCTCAGCCTGCAGCTGGTCAACCAGGGGGGCTCCTTCCTGCTCCAGCATCAGGGACTCTTCCAAGGCCAAAACCAGTTCCTTCTTCCAGGCCAGTCCCCGGTGACGCTCGCTCAGCCCGCCGGTGCTGCTCGCCCCCTGCTGGCCCCCGGCCACCACGCCCCCCCGATCCACGGCCTGACCCCCTCCACTGGGCAGCTTGTGGACGGCTCTCAGATCCTCACTGTGCCCCAAAGACAGCTCAGCTTCAGCCCCGTGTTCACCACGCAGACCGGGCAGCTCGCCCTCCGACAGGCCACCGTGCTTTCAGGACCCCTGCAGCTGCAGTCGGCGCCCCCTACCGTCTTCCAGATGCCGGCGCAGCTGGCTGGAACCTACACACCGGGGGGGCAGGGGCAGCGTGCCACCCTGGTCCACAGTCCCGCTCTCGGAAACCACATCACCCTGATCAACAGTTCAGGAGTTCTTCCGCCCGATCTCACCTCCATCTCGATCCTGAACGGCCCCTCGGTGGTTCAGGGGCTGCCCTTCACCGCCCCGGCCCCTCAGAGCAGCATGGCAGATGGACAGCTGAGCCTCCAGCAGGCGTCCGTGGTGCTGCTGCCGGAGAGAGCCGTACAGGAGGAAAGGATCGGCTTGGAGGAGACCTTCCACCAGCTACCACAGGTCAGAGACGCTCCGAACTAAAAGCACCTCTACATGTTTGTTATTCATTAGAACCTCAGCTTGAAAATAATCCTCATATATCAGGTCAAGTCCATTAACGTCCAAAGAGTCACAAGAAGGCAGCCCCCTCCTCTGTAACAAAGTGGGTCCATCTCATCTGTCGGTGTGACCTATGGTGTAAAAGAGCTTTGAGTAGTTGGAAGACTAGAAAATAACTTTACAAGCTCACGTCCATTTACACTTTGTTTTTTGATCAAGGTCTTTTTATTTGTAATTTTCAAATATATCACAAAAATATAAACAACAACAGCACAAACATAGGACAGTCAGAAAGGAAACCTGTCCAATCCCCAATTCCCTGAGTACTGGATTATCAGTAAGCATGCAGCCAGACAATAACAAGAAGAATAAACTGACATATAAACAAATAAATAACAGACAGAAAATAATAAAATACATTCAAAAACAAAACAGAAAGAAAAAAAAAAAGAAAAAATAATCAAACAATAAAAAGGTTACATAGTTATGTTGTTAGCTGTCATATTTTCAACAAAAGATAAAAAATGGTTGTCAAGTGATATAGAATTTCCTGGTGCAACCTCTTATAGTATATCTGATTTTCTCTAAGTGGACAAGAAACATGACCTCCCTTATCCTGTCGGGGGTGCAGCGTCCTTCCATTTAGATAATATTCTGGGCAAAAGGGAGCAAAAGGCTATCATATTGGTTTGGTGCCCATTAACAGGAGTGTTCACGTCCGTTTACACTTCAATCTGTGATGTTAAAGATGGATTCAGCTGAAGACGACTGATAGGAAAAGATCATTTTAAAACACTCTATGGCATCGTTTCGTAACGTTTACCTTCCTGTTACTAAAACCATCTCAGGTGTAAAGTTCACTTTAAACTACCTCTCATATATTTCATTTTCTCTCTCTCTGGTTGCAGCAGTACGGACACGTCCTCCAGCAGGTCCCGGTTCAGCCCCCCTCTGCAGGTCTGCAGCCCTCTCCTCCTCCTCCTCCTCCTCCTCCTCCTCCTCCTCCTCCTCCTGTGGTCACAGTCCTGCAGCCTCCACCTGAACCTCCTCTGGCTCCCGACCCCGCTGTGGAGATCCCCAAACTCCTGATCCCCCCCGCAGACCTGAGCCAAACGGTGGAGGAGGCGGCGCACTCCCTGAGCCAGAACGAGGCCTTTATGCAACATCTGCAACAGGTCAGCGTGGCCATTCCCTGAATTCATTAAGTTAAGAAAACGTCTTTAAGAAGAAGCTGGATATGGAACACTAGATTCTCTTTTTCACCCTCTGTTTTTGTCATTTCTTTCACAGCAAGCACTTAGCTCTCCGCTCACCTCGGACTTGTTGGTCGGGGGTCTGCCCGAGGTGCCGATGGACTCTCTAAACTCTCCGGTCCCCGATGAGACAGAGACTCGTCCTCATGCGTTCTCTGTTCAGGACCCGCACTCTGTGCTGTCTGACCCGTGTGCGGAGGATTCCCCGCTCCACTCAGACCAGGAGGACACACAGCTGATCTGCTCCCCCCTCGATCCGGTCCAGGAAACAGAGACACCAGGGACTCCGGCTGGTTTCTCCCCTCCTGCTGCGCCCAAGAGTTCAGCCCCCGAGACCCCGGCTCCACAGCCTTGCGGCGAATCACAAGTCCAGTACCAGATCCCTCATCATGTCTCGCAGGCCTCGTTTGCCCAGAAAGCAGGACCAATCCAGCCGTATGTGTCCCAGCCTCAGTCATCGGTCCAGAACAGTCTGCCTCCTCTGCGCGTCTCGGTGCCTCAGCAGCCGCCTGACCTCACGGCTGCTCCTGCGAGTCTCTCCACAGGAGGAGACAAGCCTGCTGTCCAACAGCACACACACAACAGTCAGTTTATACCACAAAATAAATATTCAGAACCTTTCTGTCCCTGTAAGTCCTCTTCCTCCTCCTCCTCCTCATCTTCATCGTTGTGTCTGTTTTCAGAGCCAACAGCTGCCTTGGTCGTAGAGAGTAAAGCGTTTACTCTCAACGACCATCCTTCCTCTCCTGCAGCGCCGGGTCTCCAGGTTCAGGGGCCCCCAGCTCCCAGTGAGGGGGCCCCCACCCAGAAGAGCCAGCAGACCAGCACCAAGGTGAGGAAAGACTAGTAAACATATCTGACCTCTTCCCTTTGTGCTGTCAAGAATGGAATCAAACATAATTAGTCAGAAGGAGGGAGAAGAACTTACTGGAGAACAGGAAACATAATGCAGCAGTTTAATTATGAGCATGGAGATCGTAGAGGTGGCGTGCAGACAGTCTATGGTCGTGTACAGATCTAAAATGAAAATCATAGTTTTAAAGGTCACATATCCTCCTCCTCTTCTTCAGTGTAAATAAGTCTCAGAGCTCCTCAAAACGTGTGTGTGAAGTTTCTTGTTCTAAATCCACTCTGATCCTGTATTTGATCATGTCTATAAACCCCTCTATTTCAGCCCTGCTCAGAACAGGCTGTTTCTGTGTCTGTACCTTTAAATATGTAAATGAGCTGGAGTCCGGCTCTGACCACGCCCCCTCTCTAGAAGGGCTTGGGTGTACTCGGTCTTTCTCGCTCCATGTCCTATTGTTTACGGTGAGAAGGCAGACTCAGAGGGCAGAACAAACACCTAGCTGTGGGAGTGTCACCCACCTGGGGGAGGGGCTACTGCCCTTTGTGATGTCATGAAGGGAAAATCTCCAAACGGCCTGTTTGAGCACACATTTTCTGAAAAGTGGAGCAGGCAGAAGACGGAGAGGATGGACTTTTCTCATCATTGGGGGGTTTGTAGACAGACTAGAGACACATGTTAGAGTTAGAGGAACATGGGGAAGTGTTTTATATAATATGTGACCTTTAAATAAAAGTCTTTAAATAAAATTCTCTTTGACCCACTAACTGATGGACAGTTGGATCCTTTCCGCTCTAATGATGTGAAATAACGTGTGTATTCATCTTTAAACTGATATAAAATGTGTGTGTGAAGCGTCCTCTGTGGGTTTAAACTGAATTGGCAGACTTTGAAATGATTTCTTTTTTTTGGTTAAATGCAGCAAACATTTCATTAATGAATTTAAAATGAACCCCGTGTGTCCCTCCTCTGATCTCCTCCTACATGTTCGCTCTCTGCCAGCTGGCAGCTCCGCCCGAGCAGCAGAGAGACGAGAGGCTCACACCAGCAATGCGCCGGCACAGGTAAGAGAGCAGAGACTCACCATGATCCAATCACTCAGGAGAGGAAATGTGTGAAGATGTTCAGGATTCTGTCTCCTACATGCTCCAGATTCATTTAACAAAATTCTGTTTGTTTGAAACATATGACCCCTCCCTCTCCAGCTCTACTGATTAATATTAATAATATTAACCTAAGAAACCCAAAAAATGTGACAAAGAAAAATGAAGCCAATGCTGAAGTGTTAAATCCTGCATTTCCTGGAGTGTCCACTAGAGGCTGGCTGCAGAAGCACAGGAAGTCACATACACACCCATTCTAAAAAGCCTGTTTTTACAGCAGAGATGAACATGTTTACAGCCTGGTTCAAAAAACCAAATAGGTGTGATTAGCTCATGTCTCCATGGACACACACTGTACGGGGGGTGAATGTTTTGATGACTCATCAGTTTTGATTTGATGAAGGATAAGAGTTATTCACAATAAGGCGTGTAGCTGACCTGATTGACAGGTGGGCGCGGTGTAACGGTTTGTCAGGAGGTTTAAAACCCGCCTCAGCTCCAGCTCTCAGCCTGTCGTTAGGTTGACTGAAAGTTAGACTGAGACAGCATTTCCAGCATGGAGACCGCCATCGATGGGACTCCAGCGCCCCCTGCAGGATCAGACGGGGGACGACATTCAGACTTCAAACATTCATATTTACAGTCTGTGGTTTTAGCGACTTTTCTTCAGAGATTGGACGGTGTATAGAGTCAGAAACTTGTAAGAGAGAAAGAGAGACATGTGGGAAAGGAGCCGGATTTGAACCTGGGCCGCCCGCTCTCGAGGTATTTAACCTCTGTACATGAGGTGCACGCACTAACCACAAGGCTACCGGCGCCCCTACGAGCTACTTTTAACAGGGACACTCCTGAGCTCATTTGATTTTCTTTTAATCTTTTTATGAGGTGAAGTTTGAGATTTGTGCTTTCATCCTTGAACTCACTCTTTTATTTATTTAATCTGAACATGTCTGACCTTTAGTGTCTCTCTTTAAACGTCTCCTGAACACATCAAAGGCTTCCTTTGACTTGTTATAAATGTGGATATGATGAGCTGCAAAGAGGCTTTCTTCATACCTCGGTAACTATCAGCCCCCGATGTATTCACAGTCGGCTGGATTAAGTCTGATCCTGCAGTAATGTGTTTTAATCCAGGTCCTTCAGGACTCCTCACACTGCCCCGATTAAAAACACTTCTACAGAAACTACAGATCCTGCTGACTACCTGACTCGTTAGGGATCATGTTTAGTGAGCAGGTCGTTATTACACGGCTGTGTTAAATACTTGATTCTCATTGGCCAGTTATGCATACAGTCTGCTATCCCTCAATAGATCACCGTTGCTAAGAAGAACAAACCGTTACTAAGGAGAGCATACGGTTGCTAGGGAAGCAGCTCTATTCACAGATTCTGGAGGACTAACTGTGATCATATCAATCAGTAGAAAGAAGTCAGGAGTCTTTGGGCCTCATACCAGTTGGGACCCCCAGAAGGTCGACTAGGCTTTGTGTCAACCTTTGATTTAAAATAATCAGATCTGGAATGTGTGAGACGCTGAGGGAACATCTTTGTGTGTAGCGGCTCAGGCTAACACTCACAGCTGTCGTCGTGTTTTCTTCAGATTCCAGCAGCAGATTTGTTCGGACCACCGAGCGGTCCACACCCCCTTCACCGGCCCGGCCTTTCCCACACTGAAGGACGCCGTCAGACGCCTGCTGCCGTACCACACCTGTGCAGGTCACCTGCCCACTCAGGATGACTTCACCTCAGGTTGGTGGAAGGATCAGTGCTCCCTGCTTATTCTGACCAAAGCCTGACTGAACTCTAAAGGAACACGTTGCACTTAAAATAGATTAAAATATTAACAAATCATATATGGCAATGTACTCCATTTGGTTGTTTTATTTAATACGGACAGTAATCATTTAGCAACATTTTGTAATTAAAGTTTTATTTTTATTTTATTATTATATTTTACTTTTCCCCCCCTTATTTTATAAATGTGGATATTTGTGCATGTGTATATCTTTTTTTCTTCCTTAGAATTTATGTAATTGTAATTGTGTGTCTTGGAAAATGTTTAAAACTCAATAAACATATTGTTAAAAAAAAAAAAATAGATAAAAAATTCTGTTGCATACATTTAAAAGACTGAGATGTCTTCCTTTCATTGGGATAAAAAAGTGTTTGCTTTTATACGTTGGTGAGTAAAAACACGAGAGGGAACCTTAAAGGGATGTTTTATTCTTTTCCTCTTTCAGTGGATCAGGAGTTTGACAGTGTGTCAGGTTTCCTGCTGAAACGTACCAAGGACATGGTGAACAAATACAGGCAGCTACTGGTGAGAGAAGCTCAGGTAAGACACACCAAGCTCCTCCCTCTTTCTCTCTCTCTCTACCTGATTCATACGTGTGCATCAAGTCTGGATCTCATCTTCTAGAAAAATAAATAAATGAACCGAGTTATTTCCTGTGTGTGTGTGTGTGTGTGTGTGTGTGTGTGTGTGTGTGTGTGTGTGTGTGTGTGTGTGTGTGTGTGTGTGTGTGTGTGTGTGTGTGTGTGTGTGTGTGTGTGTGTGTGTGTGTCCACAGCAGGACAGTCCGTCGGCAGAGATGGTGATGTTGGAGCGTCTCTTCCTTCAGGCTGAACGAAGCTCTTTAGCCGAGGACAGACGGCGAGTCCGCAGAGACCCAGGTCAGAAAAAAATGTGTGTCTGTGTGAGTGCTGCTCAGTGGTTAACTCTGTCGCCTCACAGTGAGGAGGTTCCTGGTTTGAATCCCCGTCCTTCAGGAGTCTCTCTGTGAGGAGGTTCCTGGTTTGAATCCCCGTCCTTCAGGAGTCTCTCTGTGTGGAGTCTGTATGTTCTCCTCGTTCATGTGTGGGTTCTCTCCTGGTTCTCCGTCTTCCTCTCACAGTCCAAAGACATGCTCGTTAGGTTAACTGCTGACTCTAAATTGTCTGTAGGTGTGAATGTGAGTGTGTCTGGTTGTCAGCTCTGTGATTGGCTGGTCCAGGGTGTAACCCCGCCTCTTGCCCAATGACAGCTGGGATCGACTCCAGCCCCTCTCGCAACCCCAAACAGAAAAAGCAGTATAGATGATGGATGTCTGTGTGTATTTATCAGTCTTTTAAACCTCAACACGAGACAGAAATCTGAATCAGTCACTCTCTCTCTTTTGTAACGGTCTCACTGAGCGGAGCATCGGAGCGCGCCACTTAACCTCCATATTTGCTCGGGAGCATCTCCCAGGTGTGAGCGTTTAATTAAGCCGTGTAAATGTGGAGCGGAGGTCGTGCTGAGAAAGACTCGGTGTGATGACAAGAAAATTACAGCCGAGAGGTTAAGAGCAAATTAAAGCTGGGTTGTTATGATAATTATTAAGTTTGGAGAGAAGAAAAAAAAAGGGGGGGTAAGAGGGCTCGGGGAAACGTCTGGATGTCGGACATTAATCATGAAGCTGAATAAATGTGTTTACTCTGGATCAGGGATCGTTTGTGCAGCTTAAAGAAAAGCCTCACATTTATTTAGATATTTTATTTGCAGAAACTTATTTAAAGACATGAATGGAAATATATTTGAGATGAACGCTGGTTGGAGGAGCTCTCTGCTCATTTCCAGACTCTAGAATCCCCACTGGGTTGATATGCAATCTCGATCCCCTGGTAAAGAAGCTGCAGGTCAGACTTGAACCCGGGCCACCCGCTTGGAGGAACACAGCCGCTGTACATGGGGGGCCTGCTTATCATTAGGCCGTCAGCCCCCCCTCACAGGAGCTTTAAAATATCAAAACGATCTTCTTGTTTCTCTCCTCAGAGTCCTTCATGATGGCCTTGGTTTCATCAGCATCTTCCCCCAACAGTGCCCCCTCCTCCTCCTCCTCCTCCTCCTCTGGCCCCTCCCACTCATGCTCCTCCGGCAGCCCCTCCTCCCCCCCAGCCTGGACCCGACTGTCCGACCGACCCCCCGGCCTGAAGACGTACCGCTCCAGCTCCCGCGGGGCCCTCAGGCTCACCATCAAGCAGGAGTCCGGCTCCCGGAAGGTGGTGCACAACTCGGCCTGCGACCCGGGACACAAGAGGGACCACACAGGTCAGCTGACCAACGGGGGGGGTGGCGGCGCCGTGACCGAACGCCACCTTCAGGCACAGAACGGAGCGCCCCAGCATTCTCGGCAGGACCAGGATGTGTCAAACGGAGCTCTGCCTTGTGACTCAGCAGAGACGGCGCCCGGTTCCAAAAGTAAAGCCCCAAAAACTGCTCTCTCCACGCCGGGGGGGGACGGACGCTTTGAGCTGAGAGACGTCGGCGGCCCCAAACTGAAATGCTTCAGGGCGGACGCGTCGCCTCGGTCGGAGCAGAGCTTCAGCCCCCCTCCACCTCCCCTTCCCCCCCTCCAAGAGGACAACATGCTCAGTGAACATCTGCAGAGTGCCATCGACAGCATCCTGGAGCTGCAGCGCCTGCAGGGCCCCTCCGCAGCCCCGAGCAGGGCGCCGTCCGGCCCCTCACTGGACCAGGCTGTCACCAGCATCCTGGGGGGGCACCTGTGAGGTAACTCCGCCCCCTGACAAGACATCCAGGTGGGATCAAAACATAAACTTCTTATCTGTTCCTGGAGCTGAAAGAGATTTAGTTTGAGCGAGCGAGCGAGAGGAGAGAGAGTCCAGAGGCACTATAAAGAGAAAGCAGACAGCAGCACTATAGTCCCATAGGTGTTAGATACTTCATTTGATGTTTGTGGAAAAAAAAAGTCTATTTGAATAGGAGCTCTATTGTTTCAGTGGTAGTGAAGTCATTCAGAGGTTTACGACACTTCATCAGCGTATAGAATATAAGAAATCATAGTGAGGATACCGAGCAACACGTGGAGATTATTCCATCTTTTTATAAGATTTCTTTACAAAATGTGAACTTTCCTTTTCGCATAGTGCCAAGCTTCCAGGGTATTTATTTTGATAATCTGTGCCAACTGTGTTTTCAGATGAGTTGAGCAAAGCAGCGAGTGTGTGTGTGTGTGTGTGTGTGTGTATGTATGTGTGTGTGTGTATGTGTGTGTATATGTGTGTGCATCCTGCAGCGGGACAGTGCATAAACCCCCCCGCCCGCCCTGCAGGCTTCCATCATCTCCGCTTATCAAATGAAAACTCCAAAGAATTTGTGACTTGCTACATCCTGAATACACCAGCAGACGTCCTTGTGTTGTGTCTCTTTGTCGAAGCAGAAAGAAGCCGAGGGGAACACGAAGAAGAATGAGATGTGTGCTTTTTTTTTTTAAAGTTCAGAGCCTTGTTGTTTTTTATTCACGCTGGAGTCTGACTGTGAAACACTTCCAGTTTTTAGAGACATGAAAACGTGTCCCATGTGTGACGTATTAATAACATTTAAAGCAATAATGAGTCAGGGGTTTGTTAGCAGTGGTGCTGGTGCAGTAAGGAGGAGGAGGAAAACAAACGGCTCGTTTCCACTGCACGGTGTCGCTCAAATTGAAACTTTTCCATATCCAGAGGTCGTCGATAGACCCTGCTACCTTTTTGGTATTCTTTGGGTGTTCGGCTGAGGTTCAAAGAGAGCTGAGTAGATACTAAACGGTGATTTGGAAACACTGCAGACAACCACTAGGCCAGAGGGGGAAAGGATTTTCTTTTCATTGGTTGTCTGCAGCAGCAGCTTTGCAAAGATCTGAAACACACACACAGCAAAAAGGTAAAAACTCCCAGGGCAACTGAAGCTGCATCTTCTCAGAGAAGATTTAAAAATAGTCAAGATCTTGAGAAAACGTTGTTACCTTCCTGTGAAGGGTAAGCGGAGAAAATCAAATGTATGGATGCATGTCCACTTAGGACTTCCATAGTTCTCTTCATTTCTCTGTGTGCAGTGTTGAGTTAAAAAGTTAAGATATTCTGCTGACAAAATGAGACTTAAAGGAGCAGTATGTAACTCTGACCCCTAGTGGTTAAAATGGGTACTGCAGTCTAAATTCTAAACATCATAGAGAGCTGTCTCCCCCCTGCTCTCTAGAGTGGATGCTCACTCAGGTCACCATGTGGTGGACTCTGAAGCTTCAGTGTTTATCCAGCTCTGCATGGGTCTGTAAACCTTTCTGTGTTCTAACCTCTCTCCATTTTTCAAAAGCATCTCCAATATTGATCCTAGTTTGAGCACATAAAAACAGTTGAACCGAGCCGGTGCCGTGCAGTGTGGGAAAACGAGGCCAGACAGTTTTTTCATGACAGAAGGCTTCTTCTCTCTGTTGTCATTGAAGCCCTGAGTAGTTTAGAAATCATGTTTCAAACATGTGTGAGGGTCACTTCATGACACCAACACTGCAGTTTGTTTCCCCCCCAACACAGCGTTCAGAACGTCAGCCTCTCTGCATCATCAAACAGCCTTTAAACCAAAATAAAGACCAGAAATCATCCGCTTCACATTCTCACATCGACAGTCCTCTTCATGCTTTAGGTTATCCCTTTTGAATTCATCCACGATGAGTCGAATATTTTAACGCAGCGTTTGTGGAGCAGTAAAGCTCCCGCGACCTTTTCTGTTAATGTGACAATCCTATTGGTCCGTTTGGGGAAACTGTCAGAGAGGAAACTTGGTGTAACTTGTGTGAAAGATTCTTTCACCTTAAAGGTCAAAATGTTAAAAAGCTGCACATTTCTCCTCGACATGAAGTGATAATGTATTTATGCAGATTGAGGAGGGGGAGAAGGTTCGACTCTGGATGAAAATGTTTGTGACATGCCTTATTGTTTACTCTTCATACCTTTCATTTGCCAAAAGAAGATCATCGATGTGATGTTAGAAACGCTTCCAGAGATTTGTGGCTACGATCAAACAGGCCGTTTTATTTTTTTAAATCTAATTTTTTATTGATTTAAAACGTCACATTTTCTTTTGTTGGAAAAAAACAAAAGGAGTTATAATATGCAGTAATTTAGTGATGTAATCCTCGACAGTAGTACGGGGTGGAAACACGCCAGAGATTTTATAAACGTGTTGAGAAACGCACTTTGATACCACTTGTTGCTCTACGCTGCTTACGAGCCACCAGTTAGCTTAGCTTAGCATAAGGAGCTGGGCGGAACAGCTCACCTGGCTGTTTGGAAAGGGAACTAAAATCAGCCTGCCAGAGAGGGGATGGAGAGACGCACAGTGAGAGACCGGTTGGTTAACGTAGAGAAGCGTTTAAAATATTCTCTCGATGTGGAGGAGACCAAAAATGAGCTGAAAGAGTCGTTAACTAAAATTCACCTGGTGGACAAAAATAGGACTACAAAGTCTCCATGTGCCAACAAGTTCACTTTATCAATTTATTATGTTAAAGCAACAATATGAAGAAGTTCAGTTTGGTGGACTTTGGCGCCGTCTGAAGGTCTCTGAGTGTAACTGCACCGTCGTAAAACCACAGACTGTAAACATGAACGGAGTGAAGTCACCCGTCTGATCCTGCAGGGGGCGCTGGAGTCGCATCGATGGCGGTCTCCATGCTGGAAATGCTGTCTCAGTCTAACTTTCAGTCAACCTAACGACAGGCTGAGAGCTGAGGCGGGTTTTAAGATTGCGAGTGAAAAGGCAGCTTAGCTTACTTGGTCGTTGCTCGTCCATAGAGCTCGACCTCGGTGAAGGTCGTCCCTCTATGTTGGTCCGAAGAACAGAATCTTCAGCTCCTATGAGCCGCCAGCTCGTTCCTTTTTATCGGTTATCCGTTGAGCATCTGTTGGTGCAGAGTCAAAATGTGGGCTATGCTAAACTCAAGCTAACTAGCTAAACGAGCTAACCTACAGTAGAGCGCCATGAACAGCTGTTTTACTGTCGCCAGCCACAAATTCAGAGGGTGTGAGTCCTTCTACTGCAGTTTCCTGTGTCCTGACCAGATGCGCCCAATTTACCAATCATTAGCTCCTCACTAACAGTTGGTGAGGAAATGACATCACCCTGGAACTGGGAGTTGTAGTTTTCTCCCGGGCCTCACTCCAGCCATTTTGGTGCCCTAGACGAGAATAGGATTTGGCACCTGAGGCTGCCGCTCGGTCTACGTCCATGTTTCATACAGTCGACGGTTTCAGTGCAGGCAGGACAACAACCTGCGCCTCACCTTTGTGTTATGCTAAGCTAACGTGCTGCTGGCTTTAAATTGAGCGTACAGACACGAGTGGTATGAATCTTTTTCTGTTAAAGGAAGCGTCTCTTTGGGTTTGATTAAATGTTGGGCGTGTCCCCCTCCTCAGAGGTTTCTCTGTGATGCAGTAAAGATGTCAGAGTGTTTTTCAAACACAGGATTGCACTCCTCATCTCCGCTACACTTAAAAAAAAAAAAAAAGAAAGAAAAGGGAAAATCCACCAAAATATTTTAGTTTTCCCGAAACTTGTGCCCGTATTTTCTCGTCTTAATAAAAGATGTTTCTTTGGTGGAATCCCTTTACTGAAGCCGCCTCATGTGCCATTGTTTTTGTCTGCAGTGTCGAACACTGACCGGTTTGTAAATCAGCATTCTGCATGTTGAGCCATTTTTGGTATTTATTTATTTGTTAACGTATTTTATTTATGTATTTATCCTTTTTTTCTGACTGAACTGTGAAACCAGGGGAGCTCATAACTCTACACTAATTCAGACACTAAACATTCGACTGACAGATTGTTCTGATGCCAAAATCAAGAGGCCTTAATCCAGCAAACCTAGATTGTAAAAAGAAAGAAAAACGTGTCATTCCTGACAAAAAAAAAGATCCACCTGAAGACTCCTTTGAGCTGAAAGTCACGAGTGATTCATATATGAAATGTTAACAAACGCTTTTGTACTCATTTTTACAGACTATTTATTAAACTGTGATTTTGTAAGAAATAAAAGAAGAAACAATAAATGTGCTCGTGTGTGTGTGTGTGTGTGGACAGCTTCTTTTTACCAACACAAGTCGCCGGTTCATTAATACAAACATTACTTTATTATTTTGTATCATTCACAATTTAGGAAAACAAAACAGCTGGCAGGCTAACATCCAGGAAGAAAGAAAGCAGCTGTGTTGTAAAGAAATTCATCGCGCTCTAAAAAGATAAATGTGCCTTGCAAAGACGGAGGGGGAGGGGCTTAGTGTTCAAAACATCACATGACAGTCGGCATCTCTTCTCTGTGCGGGTTTGGATTGTGTGAAACGACGTCGTGGTGAAAAACAAAAAACTGCTGACAAACTGAAGCGAGTTGACGCCCCGCTGCTGTGACACGTCTCCCGTCAGGTTTTGGGGATTAAGAGGCACGTTAAAACACGAGCCATAGAGAGTCCCAGCCGTCAGGAGAAGTCAGCAGCAGGACGGAAACATCAGGAGATTAAATGATGGAGGTAACGAGCCGACTGTACCGTGGGTAGCATTCATCTCCCCCTGCAGAAACACGACCTGTGAGACGCAGCCCAGCGGCACCTTGAAGCCCAACCCGTCTTTTAGAAAAGGAAACGGGGCGTCAACGTGTTTCTGGGGGAATCTCACCTTCCACCTATTGACTTAAAACAGACAATAGAGTGAAAGCTGAAGCAGGGCAGAGTGTTAAATAATTTAAATTCATATTAAAACAACCCTCTCTCTGCAAAGTCTTTTTCCTCTCAGACGGTTCTTCATGTCACCAGGAATTAACCAAAACATTGTGCGTCGTCATGACAACAGCGTTAACAGACATTTCAGTCCAGGCTGGTCCACGAGTTCATCCGTCTGTTGCTTTAAAAAAAGTCGGGTGTCCGGCCTCAAGTCTTTAGCAGCTCCTGGTCCTCGTGCAGACTCGTCAGTTGAGTTTGATGGGCAGGTCCTCTCCGTACTTGCGGAGGAACTTGCTGTGGTTGTGGTCGACGGCCCACAGAGGAGGGAGGTGTCGTGGCTGCATGGTGGTGAGGAAGTGCTGCCTCCAGCGACGCTCCAGCTCCATCAGACCCTGAAGGCCCTGCCCGGCTTGAGCCTGGACCACCTTCAGACCGTGAGGTACGTACGCCTCGTTGAAGATCCTTCAGGAGGAAGAGAGGAGCAGTCAGACTTTTTATAACGCACCTTAAAGTTTATGCACATGCAAACTCTTTGTGATTTTTTTGATCCAGCAGATGTCGCCCTTGAGCACCAGCATGAAACCAAAACAACTGGCGCTGCATTGTTGTGTTAGCATGCTAATGCTAGCGATCTTTATTCTCCTGGTATCTTCACACTGCATGTAAATTTACCTGAAATGAGCGTGATCTAGAAACACAGTTAAGCAGTGAGTACAGTATGTTATTCTTCTTTCTCTAGTCCCTCAATTAAACAACTTTTATACACGAGGGGAGGAGTCAGCCGGCCATCCAGGCGATGTAAACAAAGTGAAGATAGGACTCTGAAAACTCTGAAAACATCACAGACAGTGGGACTCGGGTGTTACACCCATTGTAGACAGTCATGACTCACAGAGTTATTTTCAGAGGATAAACTTGATTTCTACATTTAAGTTTTAAAATCACAAAGACTTTAACTGTCAGGCAGGCGGCCCCCTGAAATCTTCCTGAGTTGGTTGTTTAAACATGCTCCTTACAGCGGGACACTTCACCCCGCTATGAAAGAATAATGGGGCTACTGGTGCGTTAAAGTTTGTCAGTTTTTACATGTGGGATCACTGCTAAGGACTAGAGGTTGAGTTTTATTTGAGAGCATGATGAAAGTGTTTAAAACAAGAGGAGTATAAATAAGAGGATCATCAGTGATCATTGGCTGGTTCATCTGTAGACCTCCTGAGGACATTTCATGAGCTTCATTAAACAGCTGTGAGATTGATCCCGCCCTGCAGACCCGGTGAGTGACCTCACAGCGTGTTACTCAGACCCCTCTAGCCTCTCACTAAACTGCAGACTGTGATGTTAAACGTGTAGTGACTCGACAACGAGCGAGCGTGAGCTGAAGATGCTAAAGCTCCCGGTGGTTATACATCATTATGGCTCCAGGAGGGGCGGGGTTAAGTTCAGGAACCCCAGTCTGATAGAGCAATCGATTTTGATTAGTTTGCACGCGCCGTGTACAGAGGCTGTAGTCCTCGGAGCGGGCCGCTGAGTTTGAATATGTTTTTTTTAAACCAGCCGACAATTTCAGGAAATCATTTTTAGCCCAACGAGATTATTTGGGTGGATTTACAGTAAAATAAATATAGTAATGATTTAAAATAATCTTTGTGTTCTGTTGAGCTTGTTTTTATTTAAAGTTAATATTTATAACAAGACCCTCGGTGTGACCTCACCTGGTCTCCAATCCGGCGGCTTGCTGCAGCACGTCGTCCGTCAGCTCCTCCTCCTCCTCGTTCACGTTCAGGAAACTCTTGATCAGAGTCTGCAGCTCGTCTCGTCGCTGCTCGGGGAGTCCGTCCCCGGCGGTGAGCAGAGCGCGCGCCGCCGAACGGACCCGTCGTCGGTCCGAGTCCTCCAGCAGACGCACGCCCTCCTCGCAGCCCTGAGGGGCGGAGAACTCGTCGGCCAGCTGCTGCTTCAGGAAGCTGTCGTGCACGTTGGAGGCGGCGTGGCAGCTGGTGCACAGCAGCAGGATGTCGTGGGAGTTGTGGTCCTTCATCTCGGTGGGAAAGTGACGCCTGTACTCGTGTGGCACGATGTTTTTCCTGTTGAGATCGGTGACACAGGAGTGATGTGAGGTTAAGGGTGATGAAAATATGAGATGAGATGATGAGATTCAACTTTATTGTCATTACACATATACAAGTATAGAGTAACGAAATGAGGTTTGGCATCTCACCAGAAGTGCAAATAAGCAGAAAGTGCAAAAGTCTGTGCTATGTACAGTAATTACAAAATTTACAGATGTAGACTAAAAAAAGTGAATTATTAGGTATATATGGATGGCTGGATTAATGGGATGAAAACATGACTCAGCAATAAAAACAGAAACATGTTCAGAACAGATATGATCATTTTAGTTTAGTCATCTTAATTTGTGATTTGAAACGTATTGAAGATGTCCAACCTGATGTATGAATCTGCTTTTCCACAGACCACACACAGATTCTCTTTAGCAGTGAGATAATAATCCTGCTGGGAGTCGGGACGTCCCGACGGCTCAAACAGCAGCCGGACAACGAAAGGCTCTTCACTCTGCAGCACTGGGTCAGAACACAGGTTTCATTTAGAGGCTCTTCAGAGACATTAATGCAGAGAATATGACACATAAGACCATTTTACACTTTACATGCAGTGTTCATTTAAACTAAAATCTCAATGATCAGTATGAGAAGCAGAGACGCTCAACATGCAGCAGATAATCAAACGTTCTTCAGGCTCGACCACACAGAGACGCATCGATACAAAAGTGTCACCAGATAAACCATTGTTTCCATATGGTACATCTGGCTTGCAAGGCGCTCTAACAGTTTTTGGGTGTACATAAAGTGGGGGGAGCTCGGAGAAGAGAAGCTAATCCTTCACATCTAAAGGAGCCAGTTGAGGAGGTTCAGGCATCCGATTAGGATCCTCCTGAACGCACCCCTTAAAAGGTTTTCCAGGTACGCCTAACTGGGAGGAGACCCGGGGTCGACCAAAAGTTCCTCACTGAAGGTGTTATATATCCATCAGGTCTGGGAACGCCTCGGGATCCCACAGGAGGAGGAGCTGGAAAATGTTGCTATGGAGACGGGAAGTCTGAGTGGACTGAAGTCTGCTGCCAATGCGACCCGACTTTGGATAAGCCAAAGAAAACTGATGGATGGATAAAAGTTGAAACAGCGGAGTCGCAGCTCTCGTCATTTTGACTCTTTGCAGAAGCAGCCAATCAAATCAAGTAGAAGGATTAACCTCCTTTTAATGACTTTCCCCTCCTCCTCGTATGGGTGCAAAGAAACATTTGCTCAAACCCATTTTCCCTCTACTTATTTGATTTGGTCTCCCTTGTGCACATGCAGCCCCGCTCAGCAGGCGCTCCCCGCTCAGCAGGCGCTCCACGCTCAGCAGGCGCTCCCCGCTCAGCAGGCGCTCCCCGCTCAGCAGGCGCTCCCAGCTGCGCTGCGTCTCTCTGTGATCGGGGTCTTACTCCTCTGCTTTCTCAACACATGAAGCTTTTGAAGATTCTGGATCAGATTTTAAACTTCATGAGTGAGGGAGATATTTGTCAGGTTTTGGTTGTAGTGTAAAAACTTGATGTTGTGTCTTTAATGTCATGTTGAGAGTTTTCTAGAGTACCTCCTATTCCTTTATCTAGGTACCATTTGGCTTTCTTCTTGTCGCAGGTACACAGAGGCTGGCCGTCTGGAGCGTGGAGGAAACAGTTATCATAGAGAGGAGACTTCCTAGAAAACAAAGAGAAGGCTTGATTGTGGACTTCAAGGTTTTTGTTTCCCAGTAACAAATCTTATACTTCAACATTCAGAAAACCTAGAGCTGGTGGATTAAATCATTGAATCATGTACTTAACCCTCAGGCATCAGTTTCATTTACGACCCTCTGAAGTCACTAAGGACAAAATTGTCCATGCCAAAAAACTGATAAAAATAGAACAGATTTATATTTTTTTCTACTTTTCTCTGCATAAATCTCTGAAACAACTTCAGACCTGCTCAAAACTACCAAACAATCAATCATTTTTAGGAATTTAACCCTTTAAATGCCCGTTTGATTACATGATTCTGGCATTTAAAGGGTTAAATTCCTAATAATTATTAGTGATGCTTCTGACAGACGACTACAAACTGAGCAGATTGAATCTCAGCTGTCGTATTAAAAACAGTTTCCATAATGCGATGTTCCCTCCTCACCTGGCGGAGTAGCCCACCCCCAGCGGTTTCCTCTTGTTGTTCTTTCGAGGGTCTGGGACTTGCTGATCTCCAGACTCGGGGCTTTCATAAGCGGCCGGCTTCCGCGTCCTCCGCTTCCTCTCTCCGTCTGTGTTCCTGTCGTCTCCTCCGTCTCCTCCTCGGCCTCTGAAGGGAACGTCCACCAGGCCCTGGCAGCGGGACGCCAGCTCTGAGTAAGAGCACCCGCTGGAATAGGCGGGCTCGGCTTCAGAGTGGAGGCCGAGCAGACGGAGGAAGAGGGCGATGGAAACCTGGGCGTCTCTGGCAGCGTAGATCATCTGGTGAAGAGAGAGAGAGCAGATGATCAATAAGGAGGGAGTGTTTCAAGCTGCTGCTTCCAGGATTTCTCTTTTGATTGATTTGACTCTACACAGAAACAAGACACTCTCCTGCATGAGGTCAAGATTATTTAAACTCCTCCCCATGAAATGTAGTTTTTCTGTCGATTTGTCAGCTGGCTCTTATTACAATTCTACAATTCTCTTATCAGACTCTTTTATCCAAAGCGACGTACATCAGAGAGTAAGAACAACACGAGCAAGGATCTAGAAAAAAGGGAACAATGTGAGTAAGAGCAAACGATCAGCTTTGAGTCTGATTGGACACACAGGTGCTGACAGGAAGTGACCAGAGGCAAAGCACAACATTGAGGGCAGTTCTTGAGAGCTCTAATCAGTATAGAAACCATCTTATAAGTCATCGTTATCAAACAAAAACCATCGTCATTACCATCATCATCATCAATAATATGGAGACCATCATCATTAAGTTAGTAGGTATTCATGAAAGAGCTGGCTCTTTAGCTTTATTACTACAATACCCAAAAGCCTTTGCAACAGTAACATGTTAGCCACACAATCAAAGGGTGGATGAATGTGTTCCTGGTTCTCTTTTCAGACAGAATCTTAAAATGGACTTAAGCAGAAAATACTTGAACGCCAAAGTGACCCCCCTGCCGTGCCGTCATCGGCGGTAGTAACCGAGGTGTTACAGGGGCGAGACGGGAACCGCAGAGCCAGCGAGGTAGAACTCTACTGAGTGTGTGTGTGTGTGTGAAGCTCCCACTGTGCTCTCTGGTGCTTCTGCAGCAGTGTCTCCCTGTACTGTGAAGTCATGTGACTTGGAGTCAATATGAACATCTAAATGAGGGCGGAGCTTCTTCACAGCGCTGTTGTGGATTTGCACTAAGCAGAGGGTTTTTGATAAAACAGAATAAACCCACACACACTTATTCTAACCAACAGACTTGTTTATAAACCATCATGATTTTACTAAATATTTCCAAACCACCTCAGAGCTGACAGAGCTTCGTGCCCCACCTGAGATCTTTTGCGCCCCGACTAAGGGGGCTCAGACCCCAGGTTGGGACCCAATGATGTACAAGATGACCTTTTATTTGATGCACCAATCGGATTTTCACCCTTTGTAGTGTTTGAGACGCTCTTTGGAAAGGGATACATGTCGATGTTAAAAAGATCACCTGGAGGTTTCTTGTGATTTTTATATATTTTGAAAAACTGATTTATGAACAGATGTGAACAATGAGCCGTATGAGATATGTGAGGAGGCCTGTACTCCATGAATCACCTGCTCCATGGTCAGTTGATCTGCCTCCCAGTCACTGCAGCGCAGCTCCAGAGATTTATCCAGAGAAACATTCAACAGATCGGCTGCCAGAGACTTCAGACTCAGGCCGTTAGTCACCGAAGTTTGCCTGAAAACAGAGACGAGTTTAACAGGATCGTTTTAAGATGAAGCATCATAAAACACAAGAGGAGAAAAGGCTGATAAACTCTACCTCTGTCTTAAGGCGATGTAGCGCAGGTCGACTGTACACGACATGGACAGGCCGTAGTCACGCGTCAGGCGCTTCCCGTCTTCATAGCAGCCGACGCCGACTTTCAAAACGTGGGGGTCTCTGAGGACTTCCATTAAGCTGAGGGGGGAACGGCTGCCGGTCGCTGCGAAACGCCAGCAGCCTCACCAGGACGCACAGACCTGAATATGAGGCCAACTGTAACAGGGAGACCGCAGACGTCCGGCCTTTCTCTGACACCTGCAACGAGAAACGACAGACAGGTCAGACACGACGTCAGAGAGGATTTTAAATATTTGAGGTGGTGTGAAGGGAAAACTCCAACCTTTCATGTTGTTATACTGGTGTGGATGACACTGGATGTTAAATATTAGGTGTTAGTTAGATTTTTGCTCCAGTCGTTGTGATTTACTCAGGAGTAAACCGCTTTCATGTCTTTAAGCAAAACTTTGATGATTCCCTTTCGGATCGATGTTTTTCCTCTATTAATAAAAAGATTGCTGATAATTATTCTGACATTCAGAAATCATTTTTTTGATTAATTTATTACATTGTAGATTTCTGCTGGAGCTGCTCAGAGCAGTATGTAACTCTGACCCCTAGTGTTTAAAATGGGTACTGCAGTCCAGATTCTAAACATCATAGAGAGCTGTCTCCCCCCCCCCTCCTCTCTAGAGTGGATGCTCACTCAGGTCACCATGTGGTGGACTCTGAAGCTTCAGTGTTTATCCAGCTCTGCATGGGTCTGTAAACCTTTCTGTGTTCTAACCTCTCTCCATTTTTCAAAAGCATCTCCAATATTGATCCTAGTTTGAGCACGTTTCTGCTCGTGGAGCTTATTAGAAACATGCAGAGGCTTTTTAGGTCGGGTACAATCACTTCTATCTGAACCACTTCTCTTGACCACTTCCATCGCTGCAATGGACCGCCTAATCATTCTGAAACTAAAGAGAGAAGAAGAGGCGGCACGTCTTCACATGCATGAAGCTTGAACTAGACGTCTGATATTTTTGTCAGTTTCTTTTGGATAATCATTTATTGGAGTCAAATCATAGTCGTTCTTATCTGGAAACACCTGCCTGGTTTTATGTCTATATGACACCTGCAGGAATGACTGGACTCTATAACTCCATCTGTCAATGAATCGTGCAGGGTGGATTTTTCCTCTTCATATGTAAAAGCATGCAAAAGGTATTTCTTACGCCTTCGGTCTTTACCCATTCACAGTCGAGCCCCAGCACGGGGAACACCGACAGCTCCTTCTGCATCAGCGGCCACAGCTGCTGCCACTCTTCTTCAGAGCTCACCATCACAGGCTTCACTCCCAGCAGCTGCTCAGAAGACGGTATCTTCACAACGTGGCGCTGCTGAGGGGTCTCACACTCCACGGCCTTGAACTCCTTCTCTTGTACGGGGTCTTTATACTCCACAGCTGTAAACGTCTTTTCAACAGGACACGGAGCGTCCACGGGATCGGCCACCTTCTGGATGAAAGGCAGCCTCTTCCGCTTCGTCCGGTAAACTCGCCATATGAGCAGTCCTCCTAAGGTCGCCCCTAACACCGTCGTTATGACGGCAGTTAAAGGCCCTCGATGAGACATGATGATTTGTGGTGAGCTGGTTGAAAAGTGCAAAACCTGGAGTCAAAAACACACAAGATGAGTTGATCCTTCAGGCGCAGAGAGGAATGTTTCAACGAGCAGGTTTTACCTTTCTGTGTCAGTGGGATGACATGTAGACCGGGCTCTGCATCTGTGCTCTGGACTCTAAGTTCATCTTTCTGGAACAAAACAAAAAGGGACATTTTAAGTCAATTATAGGCCTGACTGCTACATTCATGTACCATCACGATAGTCACATCACAGGACGTGTGATGTGCTACAGCCTGTTTTAGTCTGTAGCTGTAAACAAACACACTTTAAGGTAAAGCTGATGTCCCTGATGGAGGAGAACTAACACTGTTATTGAAATGCCTTTTTTAAATCACAGTTTGCATGTCAGTTCTCCAACTCGCTCATGTTTCTTTTTTGATACAAATTATTCAAAATGCAGCTTCAGGATTGTTGACTCAGTCTGGCAGGTTCTCTCACTTCACTCCGGTTTTATTCTCCTTGCATTGGCTTCTAATAACTGTCAGAATTCATTTTAAAATCTGTGTTTTTGTTAATAAAGGTCTGCATCATCAGGCACCTGTTTACCTGACCCGCTCCATCCCTAAATCCCCCGCAGACCCCTCAGGTCCTCAGACCAGGGTCTACTTTAGTGCTGCAACAACGAATCGATAAAAATCTAACTTAAATTGAGTTAAATTAAGTTGGATATAAAAGCTGTTTTTAAACTGACAGCAGATATAAAAAGCACAAACATTTTCGTGACACCTAAATGTTAAATAATATATTTTCTACTTCCTCAATTTTGGAGACATGAGAGGGAGAAGTAGGGGGCGGGCTTTAGAGACACAGAGCTCCTGACCGACTCCTCCTATTGGTTCAGTCAGTACGAAAAGAGAGGAGAGAGGAGAGACGGGAGAGAGGAAAGAGGAGACAGGAGAGAGGAGAGAGGAGAGAGGAGAGAGGAGACAGGAGAGAGGAGAGAGGAGACGGGAGAGGAGAGAGGAGAGAGGAGAGGGAGAGAGGAGAAGAGGAGAGAGGAGAGAGGAGAGAGAGAGGTTTTGGTTTTCAAAATACCTTTTATTTTACCACTACCAGGAGAAAATTATAACACTGTCACATCATCACTCAGATCAAGAGAAGGAAATAAATAAATAAATAAAAAATAAAACATAAAACAAAACAAGTGCAACAAAAATCACAACATCAACAAAAACAACATTTACTGCATCAAAAATGAATAATCAGCTCTCCATCCCCACCCACAGAGCACAAAGCTTCTTCCACAGCCCATACACTATTAAAGTCTTGCACATTGTCCATCATTTGATAATAGGCAAATTCTACCTTCAGTCTGGCCTTCAAAAGTCCCTCCAGAACCAGCACCGGTTCCACACAGCCAGTACCCTGAGCTCGGTTCTTGCGTGTAAGCCAAATGGCCAACTTAGCCGAGCCAGATAAAAAGTTCATCAGTGTATGTACAGTCTTTTTCTTTGCAGAATACTTTGGCCCAAAAACAAACACTGCATAAGAGAAATCCTCCCCGAGAGCTTCAAACAAGCTTTTCATAAGGACAAACAAGAGTGAGAGCCTGGGACACTCAACAAACAGATGAGACAAAGTTTCAGTTAGTGAACAAAACAAACACTCCTCTCCCACCCCTGGATCAATGTGCGCTCTGTATCTGTTCGTGGCTATAACCCCATGCACAACTCTCCACTGGAGATCTGCTGTTCTCTTCTCAACAGGCAGCTTGTACAGGGACCGCCAGCTGCCTTTCGGGGAAACCTCCGGGCCAAAAAACTCGATCCACCTCGACTCTTTCACTCCCGACAGACCACGAAGATGTAGGACCTTAACACAGGACTGATAGAGTGCCTTTTTCCCTGCATCCTGGAACTTTCCCAGAACAGGAGTACTAAAGGACAGCAGTCCACCTCCTCTTTCCTGCCACTCCCCGACATCTGGGGTAACAGACAAAGATGGGAAGCTGTATTCGCCCTCTTCACTCCACTGCTCACACAGATTCTCAATGTTTAGAAATGTCACAAGTTTTACTGGAAGTGCAGCAAAGACTTCCTCCACCACTCTTTCAACCACCCGGCTGGAGGTGATATTGGTCCTTTCTTTGAGGGCGTCCAGGGTCAGTCTTACCAGGTGACCCAGTTTTGTGCAGCCTGCCTCTCTGAAACTGGCCCGGAGACTGGCTGACTGCAAAGTTGGAGTCCTTATAAAATCATTAAAAAATAACGGTCCTCAAAGATCCACATTCCCAGACTCTCAGTTTTTTCCCTTTTGAATGTGTACATTTTCCATGCCTGCATTACAGACATATAAAAGGATGTTAATCCAGTGAGATCCACCTCCTCAAGCTTTAACAGAAAGAGCTGCTTAGTGTACCCCAGCCGTCCAGCTCTCCTCAGCAGCAGTCGAGCGATGTCCATCCAGCTGGGACCACAAGTGAAAAGGAGTCTCTGTGCAGTCTGGAGTCTGAATGAGGCAATTTTTGACTGAATGTCTATAAGTCCATGTCCCCCTTCAGCCACCGGCAGGTAGAGGACTGCCGCCTGACCCAGTGTTTGCCTGACCAGAAGAAGTCCAGGATGGCCCTTTGAATGTCCTCCACCAGCCCTCTTGGAGGTGTCAAAGCCACAAGTCTGTGCCAGAGAGTCGAGGCAACCAAGTTATTGACCACCAGAACTCTTCCCCTATACGACAACTGGGTAGCAACCATTTCCATTTAGACAACCGAGCGCACACTTTCTCCCTAACTCCCTCCCAGTTTTTACTTTTAAAGCCCTCGGTACCCAAATAAACCCCAACACCTTCAACCCCTCCCTCCCCCACTCAAGTCCACCCGGCAGACTGGGCACTGCCTGGTCCCTCCACTCTCCCACCAGTAAGGCACCACTTTTTTCCCAGTTCACCCGTGCAGCTGTTGCCCTTTCATACAGGGACAGGGTGTCCCGCAGACACCGAACGTCCCCCTGATTGGAGATGAAGATGTTTACATCATCAGCATAGGCAGAAATTGTAGGGGACATTCAATGCTACAGGCCGCGGGCAAAGAAAGCCCGCTGAGCCGGTCCCTCAACCTGCACAGCAAGGGCTCAATAGCCAAGCTGTACAGCTGGCCGGAGATGGGACAACCTTGTCTGATCCCTCGCCGTACAGGGATTGGCCGACTCAACCCCGCCCCCATCTTCACCAAACACTGTGCATCCTGATACAACAAACCAACTAATGACACAAAACCATCCCCAAAACCAAAAGACCTCAGTGCAGAAAACAAATACGAGTGATCCACCCTGTCAAACGCCTTCTCTTGATCCAGAGACACAATGCCAACATTTAGATTATAGATTTTACACACATCAATGACATCTCTGATAAGAAAAACATTATCCATGATTGTCCGGTCTGGAACACAGTAACTCTGGTCTTTATGGACCACACTTCCCAGAACGTCCTTTAGTCTGTTCGATAAAGCTCTGGAGAGGATCTTGTAGTCCGCACAAAGCAAAGCAACCGGCCTCCAGTTTTTTAACAATGCCAGGTCACCTTTCTTGGGGAGCAAGGAAAGAACTGCTCTCTTACAAGAACCAGGAAGAGACCCGGTCCTGCAACACTCCATTAAAACACTATGCAGGTCAGACCCAAGATATTCCAGAACCTCTTAAAAAAGTCTGTGGACAACCCATCTATTCCAGGTGCTCTTCCTGTTGCCATCTGAGTGACAGCAGCAGTGAGCTCCTCCAGAGACAGCTCCCCTTCCAGAAGAGACCTCTCCTCCACACTGAGCTGAGGGAGACCCTCCAGGAGCTCCCTGCGACACTCCTGGCTGCAACTCTCTGCTCCAAACAGATCCTCATAGAACTGCATGGCGTGACTGCTCATTTCCTTTGGATCAGCTGTTATTCGACCTCCTGGCAGTTTCAGACAAGTCAGCAGCTTTTTTTGAGCCACAGATCTCTCAAGATTGAAAAAGAAAGACGTTGGGGCATCCATGTCTTTGAGTTGAAGGAAACGACTCCGCACAAGAGCTCCCTTCACCCTCTCCTGCAGGAAAGAGCTCAACTCCATACGTTTCTCCTTCAGCAGGTACCAGTGGTGGGATCCACACTCCCATTTAACCCCTCCTCAAGGTTCTTAATGTTGTCCTCAAGATTTTTAATGACTGTTTTTAATCTAGCAGAAGAGTGTGACGTGTACTGCTGACAAAAAACACGAATCTGAGCTTTACCAACCTCCCACCAAAGCTTCAAAGAATCAAACTCAACTTTTCTTAATTGCCACTGATCCCAAAAACACCCAAAGTTTTTACAGAAAACATTGTCCAGTAGAAGCTTGTTATTAAAATGCCAGAAGGACTTAGCCCTTTCACCTGGTGAAATAATCAGCTCCACACTAACAAAATGGTGATCAGTGAAGCCGACAGGCAGAATATTACAATGAATTAATCTGGGGTTGAGAGTTCTGGAGATGTAAACCCTGTCCAGTCTAGCTGCACACACCCTGTTACTGTTAACCCTGACCCATGTATACTGTCTGGATTGTGGATGTTTCACTCTAAATGTGTCCAACAAATCCAGGTGAGAGATGACAGTGTTTAAAGTCTGGGATGAATGTGGATGTGGCTCCTCTCCTATTCTATCCACGGTGAAATCAAGTGTGCAGTTAAAATCACCACCAAGAATGATCTGATCCTGATTATAGATCAGTAACTCCTTTTGGAGGCGGGTATAGAAAGCTACCCTTTCAGCTCCATTATTTGGAGCATAAATATTAGTGAAGCAGAAAACAGTGTCCTCTATTTCTGCTCTTACAATTAAAAGCCTTCCCTTTACAATTTCAGCACAAGAGACGATCTTTACATTTGCAGATGCTCTAAACAAAATGGCTACTCCTGCACTAAAGTTGGTGCCATGGCTAAGGTAGTTAGAGCCCTCCCACCATAAACCCCAATCTGTCTCATCTGATGGTGTGGTATGAGTCTCTTGTAAAAACAAGATATCAATGTTTTTCTGAGTTGAGATCTCAGAGATAAGGCCCCTTTTCTGTCTGTCTCTCCCACCATTAATGTTAAGAGATCCTATCTTAAGACTCCTCATAGAAAGATCAGAGAGAAAGAACAGACAAGTAGACACAAACAGGGAGCAGTAGAAGAAGAAAAACACCTTGTGATGCATGATCATTTCTTTGT